GAGTTTATGGTTTGCACTTTGAGGCTATGGATACGCTTTAAGAGTGGCGTTCAAATTCCACTGGTCGATCAGATAAGAGTAGCCTAAGGGTTGGCGGTGGGCGCTGCGGACTTTATTCCTTCTCTCTAGTCTATCATTTAAAAATTAGGGTTGGCTGCTTGCAGCTTATTATAGTGGTCAACCTGAAAATGGGTCTTAGTTTTCAAGTTAGTTGCTGTCCCTTTTATTTTAAATTATAATAGCCAAGGATAATTTTTAGCTTGGATTTCATTCTGTAGTCAGTCGTCAAGGGCGATTTATATAGATGCTTATTAGTGACGGTCTGGTTTAATATTCAACCTCCAGTTCTCGCACTATTAATATGTATACATGCAATTTATTACTCATATCTAGGTATATATGTGTGTATGTGAGTTAACGTTAATGCGTCTCTGCATATTTTTACTTGCTTTCTACATGTTTACATGTCTGCACAGGCGTTATTTTGTGTTTATTCGTATGCTTCTGAATTGTTAACTGCTATTTTGTAATAACGTATACTTATTTTCTTAGCTATTATACAGATAGTAGAAAAGTGATTCAAATTAATGCCCTCCTGTGGCACAGCGGTATGTCTGCGGACTTCCAACGCTAGGATTCGGGTTTCGATACCCGTGGTGGGCAGAGCACAAATAGCCCATTGTGTAGCTTTGTGCTTACCTTCAAACAAACAAACATAAAACAAATTAATAAGAGGCATCTTTCTTTCTTAGTAATGGAGGATCAAAATAAAGCATTTAACTTAAAAACCCGCAAGTTCAGCGTCTACATTACAAGCAGATTTCACGCATTGTATAACGTAAATTGATTCGTATGACATACTAGTTCAAAAAATGAAGTAAAAAGTTTTCTATACGAAAGGGTGCAATGAAAACACAAACCATCTATGGGATTCTACACGAGAACCATTCATGTAACTTTGTGGGAAAATTCTAAAACAAATAAGCAAAGTAATATCAGTTTTATTGCTTAACACTATACACTTGATTGTTTTGGTGATTCGATAAGTTTTCAATAAATATGCAGAAGACTGATGAAATTAAAGTTAAATAATCTGCTTCGTGCGTGAATTTGTTATAAACTTACTAGAAACATTTATATAACCTCGTCTACTAACCATTAGGCAATACCACTAGCTGAATCGGATGTTACAGCAATTAATTTAAGCCACAATTAACCTTTTCGGCCAACAGATGGGTATTAGGCGCTTCTGTTTGATTATGAAAAACTTAACAGGATATCTTTCGTTGCTAGTCGTTTTCAAAGTAATAATGAGGATTTTTTTTAACGGAATAACCCAAGAGAATTCAGTTTTGGAAAAAATAATTGACCGATATAAAGAACTGTGAAAGAAAGTTTTTTTTATTAATTATATTGTCAAAAGTTTGTTTTTCAAATTCAGATCCCTTGCCTATACATTGATATAGTTGTTGCTTATTGAAAAAGCAAGATGCTTATAATGAATTAACAGCAGTAGACTGACAAGCTGGACATTTTAAAAAAGAAGATATTCAAGCAAAAAAACGAGAGTGTCTATCAAAGTATCTAGAAATACAAAAGTAAATGTAATTTCTCTCCAGGCATTTCCCGTTGGGCAAAAAACAAATCTTCTGGTAACTTACTAGTGAAATCTAATAAAGAACTGGCAACATCTAAAAGGCTTAATTTGGATTTAGCTTAATTTGATCGTAGCTCAAGTAACCTTTTAGTGGTATTGGGGTTTCCACTCAAGCGAGTAAAATTGAATGGTACTAGACAATACAATCCACTAAGGATCAAAATATTCGTGAGAAGTTTAAACAACTTTATTAACCACCGGTCAGTGACTTCTTCTTTTTTCAGAGCTTAAAACTATTTTATTTCTTTGTTTTTATTTCATTTTATCGTTACCAATGCAAGTGCGAATCACTATAGAATATTACGATACATTGACTTAAAAAAGGCCTTTATACAACAAGTTAAAGAGGAAAGATCGATAATTCCAGAAAATAATAATTTTTGAATTATTTTTATTGCGGTTGTAAGATAACTACATATATTCAACAGGCATTACATGTTTTAGGTTTTGTTTTATTTTGTTGTAAACTGTTTTTACAGCTGCTAATATCAATTTGCTTATATATATATATATATATAAATACAATTTAAGTGCATGTTTGGCTATTACGTTTTGTATGTATTTCACGAAGACGCAGTTAATTTCATATTGAAATTAAAAACAGTTCTGTTTGTGAAAGAACGTTATATGTTTCAAGAACATTTTGATACATAACAGTTACCCAGGATAACCAAAGCCTTATCATTCATTTCATTCTAAAATAAAAGTTGCGAATATTTTGTGGGAAAAAAGATGTTTTTAAGCATCTTTTATCAATACAGTGTATTCTTCTCATGATACAGAAACTATTTTTGACAAAAAGCGACTCTGGAAACATACATATTTAATGTTTTAAACCTAAATGCACTTTATGTGACACATAAGCTAAGCAGCCAGATCAGAAACATCAGAGAGAGATTGTAACCTGTCACCAGCACCCACTGTTTACATTTCTATTCCTAACTGAGTATAGAGTTAGAAAATGAACGTTCAGAGCGTTTCTGCGATTTTCTCGGCTCGAATCTTGGACCTTGCAACCTGTAACCCGGCATGCTAAAAACTTGGTCACGCCTGGTCTGAAACCACCAGCGTGTTCCTTCTAAGCTTAAACTTATGTAGGCTAACTCGTGTTTTACTTATTATTACACTAGACTGAGCCTAAATGGGTGGGATTCACTTAATGTGCAATCTTATTTAGAAGAATTTAAGATTTTTAACAGCTTCCTAGTAACGGTGTGAGAAAATGCACCCGTGACCCTCTCCTAATTATTTTAGCCTGCAATAGAACGAGAGGTTTATGTAATAGTTGTTAAATTGAGAGAGCAGAGGGTAAGGTACATGTTGATTTTTCTATTCGATCCTACTACTTTCACATCGGTAATCATAACATACTCAGTAGTGCTATAGTGCTAATAATGGTGTACATGTTTTGATCATTTTACCTTTCTGCAAAAACCAAATGTGTACTAATGAGCATAAAATAACAAGTTGACGAATATGAAGTGCACTATAAAGTACCCAAATAAACGCCTGGAGATTATTAATTAAACAGCTGGTGGAATGACAAGTTAGCTCAAAGTTGGTCACATGGACAGACATGAAGCAATTATAATCCTAAAATATCAGTTACAATTATATTTTTGTGCGGTTATGGAGAGAATGCACTGACATACACACACGTACTATATGTCACATATATTACTCCAAGGCTCTAAGAGTATGATATATGTCATTAGAAATACGATGTAACGCCTCAACTTTACAATACTTATTTTAATATACTAATCATGTGACTCCCAACTTTGAAACAAAACCTCAGACTCTACACTTCCCCCGGTTGATTCACTGATATAAGAGATACATTTTTATTAATCCAAGTTGAATATGCTGCTCCCAAAGTACGGAATTACAGAAGCAGATTTAAAATAAAACGTTTTGAATCTGTGGCTGGATGATAAATATACTTTGTTCTTAATTATTTATTTTTGTATTTCAGATTTGCACCAGTCCTATCCACAACCTTTCAGAATAAGAATAAAAAAAAATTATTCGGTCCGAAACTTCAACATTGAAATGTCAAATATTTAAATTCTAAATGAGTTAAATGTATTTATTTATAAAGGTTGTCCATAAAACTGTTGATGCATCGAAAAAGTTAATAACTTCTGAATGAAAAACAATAGAATTTTGTTATATAATAAGGCGATATATTAATAAGTTTATGCTAGAAAATATACCTATAAGTCAAGCAAAATGTTCAATGTCACTACTCATATGAATTCGGTGTAGGAGTCCTCACAACAAATGTGCTGGTATATTCGTTATTTACACGAGATATAAGACATCGTCCATCTTGTGTCGCCTCCTACCAAACAATGGTCCGAAAATTTCACATAATGAGCCCGATTAAAAGGTGTGTACGACACATTATGTCTTTCAGCCTATATCATTCACCTTGTTCGTTCGAAATTCTTATGGACACCGTACGTGTAAGTGCGTATATAGTTCTGATACTGTTGCAATTCTCAGACGTCGTAGGAATTCAAGTTGATTATTACCATTTGTACTGAATATATCTATTTGTCGTTTGCATGTAGAGTTTATTGAAATACTGAAGGAACTCTTTAACAGAAAAAAATGTTACAAGAATAGATTTGTATAAACATTTTATCAGCCTTGTTATTAAAGGATAATTTTTCTGATGAAGCTTAATAGGTACAATAATGAGAAAAAAAGTTTAATGAATACTTAATCACAAATAGGAATGAACTTGTTTTCAGTCTTTTTTAGCGTTGCAGGTCTTATTTGTAAAGCGTACAGTTGCAATATTAATTAATGCAGTTACAAACTAATGTAGTTTCAAAACTTGAAGATCTTAAATAACTTAGAACAACATATTAATTCGATTATAGTTTGCTATTAAAGCCACACTGCTGTAAGTTGTCTTTGCTTTTTGTGTTTTTGTTTTTGCCATTTCTCAGATACTTGTTCTCATATTTACTATGATATACGTGTATTAAATATTGCTTTTCTAAGAGCCAAAAATCTCGAAAAATAAAACAGTTAAATAAATTCACATTATTAATTTTTTTACTAGTTCAAGTAACTTTTCACTTTGCGCAGATACTTTTGAGGTGAAAGTTGTTTTTTTTTTCAGTTTCTTACAAAATGGAATTATGTTCATCTCTTACCGAAATATTTTGGTTTTGTAATTTTCCCACAAAGTAATAAATAAAAAAAGAGTACACATATATTAAACATTTCATTGTATTTGTTCTGGAAAGACTGAAAGTTTCATTTCGAATACTTCTATAACACTGTTTAAATATAATACTAAAAAACACGTTTTTAAGAAATTTGAAGATTTCAATTGTATATCTTATGTATTATTCATTTATATTCTTACATCTTTCGTATTTTTTGTCATAAATCAAGAAATTATTCAAGAAGAATTCATGCCAATATACTTGGAAATATTAGAGCATTTAAAAAAACAATGGACGATTATTTAAACAAGGATCAAGAATCACAATCTTATACTGTCAAGCTTAAACTTAAAACAAGATTAGTGAGAATTTGTTTATGTGTATACACGAGGAATAACGCTTAATAGGCTTAGATATTGTGTATAATATACATCAAAATATGAAAGATATAATAAATTTTTTGTGTAGAATGTTTCCTAGTTTAACACTCTTCATAAGTAACATTTAGACATGTATTTCACATCAACAGCAGGGTGATCATGTTTTATTTCTTTCCAAACGACAGGAAAGCTGCTGCATTCTTCGATCTTCTTCATTTCTCTATAGTCTCACACAAACGCACATACTTTTAGTTTTCTCCGTTCAGCTGCTTTTAGCAGATTTCCAACAACTTTCTCCATAGGAAAAACACAACTAGTGCTGCTCCTGTAGAATCCGTTTTTTTCATCATGGATGCAGAATTTACTGTACGAAAAATAATAAAAAAAAGGTTCTGAAGGAGATTGGAAACACGTATGATACGTAAATAGTTAATAGGGACGATAGTGTAACGTTAATTCAAATAAAGAGGAATAAGTAAAACGAAAAATGGCAAATATCTATCATCTTCAAAATGTAATGATTCAGGGAATTTTTAAATTGAAGTTGCAAGAACATTTTAAAATTACAATTATAATTAAGTTTGTATTTTGTTGAACTTTGCGAGGCTGATAATATTTCAAATAAAATAACAAACTGAAGAGGAAAGGAAAACCCGAAAATGCAAACAGAGCGGATGTGAAAAATGACAAAGCCACATTGGACTATCTGCTGTGTCCACGGGAGAATCGAACCCCGGGTTTAAACGTTGTAAGTCCGTAGATTTAACGCTGTCACACAGGGGGGACAAATAAAATAGAATCATACAAATTACATATTTGATCATGAAAGTATTTGGTACTATGAGCTGCCAAAAAGTACAGAAACCGAATAGCTATGATACTACAAAACGTTTTTAGTTTGAAAAACTCTGAATCCTAGCATAAAACATTTTTAGATGATGGAATGTTGTGTATGAAATAATATAAAATTATATTTGACATTTGATAAACATTTCACTTGTTTGAAAAGATCATAATGATAGTGAAGAAATAACTTGTTTGTATCTAACATTATATTCATATCATATCATTTGTTTGTTTGTAGTTAAGCACAAAGCTGCACAATGGACTATCCGTGCTTTGCCCACCACGGGTATCGAAACCCGGTTTCTAGCGTTGTAAGCCCGCAGACATACCGCTGTGCCACTGGGGGGCCATATATAGTGAGGCTATAAAATGATTATTGAAAAATATCGGCAGAACATTTCGCGGGAAATATAAACATAACAACTTTCAAAGAAAATGTAATAAAATAATAAACCTTACAAAATAATACCACAGTAAATAAGTTAACGTTTTAACGTTGCTTATACTATGCCACTCTTTTTTTACACCGTCTTCTAAGTGACAAGAATATAAACTTGCAATTTTATTATTGTAAAATTGGGTTTTAGTTTCATACTTTATGTTGCTTTAAGTTCCAAACAAAACCATGCTAACTTGAAGATTTTGATAAGTCCTGCAGATCGATTTAACGATTTGTTAACTATGGAAGGACTGAAACAGAATGAAAATTGACAACAATTCATTGCCTCTCAAATTTTATGACAAGCTTTCGGTATGTTGAAATTGCCATCAGCTAATATAGTCACTTTAAGATTGTTACAATGCAAATGATTAGATGCCTTCAGGGCCGTTTCTATAAACTTCCTGAAAAAAAAAAGATATATTTAATGATAGAGAACTTTTGGTTAACACAGTGGGCGGTGAGGATTTCACAAACCTAGAATAAAGAAACCAATAAGATTTGTGACGGTTGAATTGGGGGCGGGAGTGGTGTGAAAAAGGAACATATTTGCTTAAAAGCAATAACAGAATCCAAAGGAACTGTGTGTGTTATTGCAATTAATTAAATTATATAAATCATGTTAGAAAATAATGTTCAACAATTGGATTCTTTACTGAAAGATATGACTAATTAAATGTGTTTTTCTTGTGATTAATTTCTTCGGAAACTCTTGATCATATTTAAAAATTCCCTAAATCATATAAGTTATTATATATAGCAACACCAAGAGTTTCATGTATTTGCAACCGATTTATTATCAATACTTAACGTACCTTCCTTATGTTGCATTAATTGCGTTTCTACGTGAAAATTCATCGTCCACTTTTGAGTATTAGTTTGTCGAAATAAAAAATATATGTCCTAACGTTTTATTTCTAATTAAGCTAAGTTCATTTTCACTAATAAAGGTTTCAACATTCCATTTAATAATTTCAATTGTCATTCCATACTCTAAAAAATTGAGTTTAAGTAACTTATTAATTCTTCACTATAAATATTAGGTTTTATGAAAAAGGCAGTTATGAGTTTACATTTCAACAACGTTAAAATGAGAGTTCAATACGTGGCCGTTTTATCAGGCAGTATCATTTGCCATAAACTTAATCAACACAGGTATAAAACGCTTAAAACTGGAAGTAACTTAGCACAGTGGTTCAAAATTGTTTAATTTACAAATATAACCTCATCTAAGCATTTATTATTGTAATATTAGTGATATATATAGCTCTCAATTCAGAGTTGAAACATAAATTCTATAATTTTTATTTTACTTTTAAATTTTGTTT